TGGTGTTGTTGTGCTGTTACTGTAGCAATCAATATATGTTATACTTCTCGTCTTATATATAGCAATTTTATTTTTGTGTAATTTTTGTTTGTTTTTTTTTGTCGTCTTGATTATTATTTATTGCAAATTATGAGAACTGTTACGTAGACGATTCTACAATAGACAATTCCTTCCCGACCCTTATTAGATCCACACCTCTTTCACCTCCTTCTTCATGCTCACCTCCTTCACCTTCTTTTTCATGGTTTTTTTATGGACACTTCTTTCTCTGTATAGAATCCTGTCGAACGGCTATAATTGTACATCGCTGGAGATCTCCTGCACACTTGCCTCCAATAATCTGCAAATTTATAAATAAACGCGGCATCTGGAACTCGAACCCCAGACTCTAATAAACCCTTGGTCAACCAATGGGCCAAGGAGGCTTCCACTGTGTAATTTTTGTTTATATTATATTATATATATATATATATATTTATATTTATATGAAACCATTTCATTATTTTTTTACGAAAAAAGAAATTACCATATGTTACTCAAATATTTATATATGAATACAAAATACCTATATTCGTAAAATAACACAAATTTGGGATTATTGTCTCCAATTGTATTTGGGTTGTACTGTATTTGGTTTCCAAAGAGCCCACTAGGCTTTTGTTTTATCTCTATTTAGCAAAAAAAAAATTACAACAAAAAAAGAAAAAAGAAAGTACTCTTCCGAAACTTCTTATCCTTCTTCTTCTGGATTTTAATCTCATTGGCCCCTTTTGCTCATATCATTCTTTGAAGTATCTATACAAGTATGACGGATACTATACAAGTATCAGAGAAGATGTACATTGGATTTTCCACGTAGAAGATCGATGAAGAAGTGTATTCTTTTCTTATGAATAAATCAAAAGGGGAAATATCATATGTTAAGTTGGTTGAGAGGATTTGCAAGAGGAAAAAGGTAGATGAGGCTATGACAAGGCTCAGAGTTAGTTACGTTCCCTTCTCATTCCAAGGACTAAGGTAAGACTAGATTATATTCGGAATGGTGAAGATGTTGTGTGTTATTTTGAGGATGTAAGTGAAGAAGGGTTTAGAAGTGTATTGCATGTCGAAGTTACCAATGACGTTGAAGAAAATCAGGGGATCGATGAAAATAAGGGGTTTAATCAAGTTTTAAGAGAGGATTTGGTTAGAGAATATGTTGCAAATAATAAAGATATTCCTTAATTGGTGGAGCGGATGATAGTGGTGGTGGTGACCTTGCTATGTACATTGGAGAACCATCACAACATATCCGATGGTGGTGGAGAATGAGGATAGAGATGTAGAAGGAAATGCATCTGGACCTATTTTATGGGACGATAAACTTGATATTACGGTAGGCCAAAAATTTGGAAGTGAAGAAGCAATACAAAGTTTAGTTGAAAAGGCTGGACATAAGAATGTCTTTGAGTTTGTTGTAAAGAAATCGGAATTGTTGAGATATGTGGTGGCATGTTCAAAAAGCACACAATGGGTGTGATTGGTATCTACGAGCTGCGGGGCATGATACATCTAAGCCTTTTTCTATACGAACTCATAGAAAGATTCATTCATGCTCTCGGTCAAGTACAAGTACAGGGCGAAG